AACCTACTAAACTGCAATCGCTTCCCTTGGAATACCATAGCCCATACTTAGATGTACTATTGAGATACCTAAGCATACGCTCGACAACTTTTAAGTGGGATTCCTTAGGATCTGATTGATATCATGCACACATGCAAACATTAAACATGATGTCAGGCCTAGATGCCGTAAGATACAAAAGGGATCCAATCATACCTCCATATTTCTTGACATATACACTCTTACCATGTTCATCTTTATCTAAATTCCCGTTGGTAGGCATAGGGGTGTCAATTGATTTTGAGTTGTTCATTCTAAATCATTTAAGCAACTCTTTGCAATATTTTGTTTGACATACAATTGTGCCTTTATTGAGCTGTTTTATTTGAAGACCGAGGAAGTAGTTTAGCTCCCCCATGAGACTCATCTCAAATTCACCCTGCAAAACCTTAGAAAATTCTTCGACCAAATGTAGGTTAGTTGAATCAAAAATAATATCATTTACATATATTTTAACTAAAAGAATATGCTTTCCTTTACGTTTAATGAAAATAGTGGTATCCACTTTACCTCTTGAATATCCATGATCAAGTAAAAATTTACTAAGTCTTTCATACCAAACCCGAGGGGCTTGCTTAAGACCGTATAACGCTCATTTTAATTTGAAAACATAATCTCGATATTCATTATACTCAAAACCAGGAGGTTGTGAGACATATACCTCTTCGTTTATGACTCTGTTTAGAAAAACACTCTTTACGTTCATTTGATAAAGCTTAAAATTTTTTGCACACGCATAAGCGAGCAAGAGACGTATAGCCTCAAGGCGAGCAACTGGAGCATAAGTCTCCTTATAATCAATGCCCTCCTCTTGGTTATACCCTTGTGCCACTAAACGTGCTCCGTTGCGGGTTATCACTCCATTTTCATCAAGTTTATTTCTAAAAACCCATTTAGTGCCTATGATATGATGGTCTCGCGGACGAGGGACAAGTTCCCAAACGTCATTTCTTTTAAATTGATTAAGCTCTTCTTGCATGGCCATTAGCCAAAATTAATCAATCAATGCCTCTTTGGCATTTTTAGGTTCTACTTGTGAAACAAAAGTGAAGTGATAACAGAAATTACTTATCTTAGAGCGAGTCATCACTCCTTTTGAAATATCTCCCAATATGTTGTAAATAGGATGGTCTTTTGAGGATTTCCAAGATGGTGGAAAATCATTTACTCCCGTTGACTTTTCTTCCTCATCTTTTGTATGGCTTGAATATTGTTCCTCCTCATCGTCAACTATTTTGAACTGATCAATTTCCTCAACAGTTTCCTTGAGTATGTCTTATGTAGATACACCTGTACCATCAAGAGAAATACCTTTTCCGACATTTTTCGGATAAGATTCATCAAAAGAAACATGGAATGACTCCTAAACAGTAAGTAAACACTTATTATATACTCTATATGCTTTACTTGATTGTGAGTATCCGAGAAAAATACCTTCATCTGCTTTTGCATCAAATTTCCGAAGATTTTCTTTACCATTATTCAAAACAAAACATTTACAACCGAATACGTAAAGATGTGACAAGTTTGGCTTCCTTCCTTTTAAAAGTTCATAAGGTGTTTTATCCAAATTAGGACGGATTAATATTTTGTTTAAAATATAACAAGCTATGCTAATTTCATCAGCCCAAAAGTATTTTGGTAATCCACCCTCATTGAGCATTGTTCTTGCCAACTCCTCTAAAACGCGATTTTTGCGCTCAAAGACTCCATTCTACCGTGGAGTACGAGGTGCTAAAAAATTATGCTCAATACCGTGCTTGTCACAATATTTATCAAAGAGACGATTTTGAAATTCACCTCCTGATCACTTCGAGTTGTAATTATTTTTATTTCCATTATGTTTTCAGATAGCTTTGCAAAACTCTTAAAAGTAGAAAAAGTTTCATCTTTGCTACGAAGGAATATAGTCCAAGTAAATTTAGAGTAGTCATCAATGATTACAAAACCATAATAATTTCCACCTAGACTTTTTGTTCTAGAAGGTCCAAAGAGGTCCATATGAAGAAGCTCAAGGGATCGTGAAGTGGAAATCATATTTTTAGATTTGAAAGAGACCCTTGTTTGCTTTCCCATTTGACACGCATCACATATGTGATCTTTTGTAAATTTTATCTTTGGAAGACCCACTACTAGATCCTTAGATACAACCTTATTAAGTAAATCAAAGTTAACACGCGCTAGACGTCTATGCCAAAGCCAAGAATCATCATTCAAGGTGACTAGACACTTAGTGCTTGTTAATGATACATCAAAAAGGTCAAGCATATAAACGTTGTTTACTCTAATACCCTTAAACATAATATTTTGTTCAGTATTTTCAATTATGCAGTAAGTGTTTGTGAAAGTAACTTTATAACCCTTGTCACACAATTGTCTAATACTTAACAAATTGTGTTTAAGCCCCTCTACTAAATGGATGTCAGAAATAGTAATGGTAGAGGGATTACCTACACTACCTTTATCGAGTATCACTCCTTTTTATTGTCTCCATAAGTAACAAATCCATTCTTCTTTGCTTTGAAGTCAATGAAAATCGATATGTCACCTGTCATGTGCCTTGAACACCTGCTATCTAGAAACCATCTTCTATCCACGAATGTAAGACACTTTTCCTGCAATATCAAAAGAGAGAGGTAGGTACCCAATTTTTATTGAGTCCATGTGGATAACTGGTAACATAGTTGTCTTTAGGCCTCAATTGGTAAATGCCTTTAGGAACAAGAAATCTCCTAAACTTACATTTTTCAATTGTATGACCAAAACGACAACAATAATGACACAAACCATGATGGTGATGTATTTTATTACTTCTGCTCATTGAATACTTTGGTATCTTTTCAACAAAAGAATATTTTGTATATGGTGGATTCAATATTTTCTTAAAAAGTCTAGGATCGACGACAAAAGTAACCTTGGACTGTAAAGCTTTTTCCAATTTGGCATTAAGAGTTCTAACCTCTTGTTGGCAAATATGACAAACTTCACATTCCCTTCTAAGAATACATCCTCTAACATCCTTATCCTTTGAACTTTCTGCAATACTAGCTTTTAGACATTTTAAGTCTTTTCCAGACTTATAGACTTTACCCTCTAAGAATGAAAATATTTGTTTATCGGAGGATAATCTCTTAAAAGCATCTTCAGCTTTGTTTTGCAGTTTTTCAAAAGCCATTTTCAGTTCAGAAAAAGATATAGAAGAAAAGTTGTTAGGATATGCTTGTCTTACTTACTCGTTGTGGTTGTTTTTCTTGTGGTATGACTGATTTTTGGTGTGTGCCATGAGACATAAATTTGCAGTCTCATCATTATCACTCGAACTGTCATCGTTTGATGAATCACTATCACTTTCCCATGCAATGTAAGCTCTTCTTTGTTTATTGAACTTCTTTGGTGGAGCTTTTCCTTTGTCCTTTTTCATCTTTGGATAGTCCAGTTTGTAGTGTCCAACTTTATCACAATTGTAGCAAGGTCCTTTACTTCTTTGCTTTTTATTCTCTTCTTGCCTTGGCTCTTTGGACTGTTTTTGAAATCTTATGAGATTCTTATCGGAGTGCTTGATTCCATTCTTTCGAATAAACCTATTATATCTCCGAACAAAAAGTCACATTTCTTCATCATCAGAATTTTCATCACTACTTGAATCATTATCTTGCTCTTTGTTTGAGGACTTGGAGCTAGAAGTCATTAGAGCTATTGACTTCTTCTCACCCTCCTTGTCTTTATTCTTCTCCTTCTTACTCTTGTTTTCATATTTTTCAAGACTTTCCAATTCTTGTTGATGTTCTTCCAGCTTGCCAAACAGAGTTGTAATGGTAAGCGTAGTGAGGTCATTGGCTTCCTTGATAGCTGTTACTTTAGGTTGCCATTCCCTGCTAAGACATCTCAGAATTTTATTAGTAGCAATTTCATTGGAAACAGGTTTTCCAAGTGCATTTAAATGACTCACAAGATGAACAAATCTCTTTTGCATGTCGGAGACAGATTCTCCTTGTTTCATGCGAAAGAGCTCGAACTCTTGATTGAGTGTGTTAATGCGGAACTGTTTAACTTCAGTAGTGCCCTCATGGGAAATTTCTAAAGCATCCCACATTTCTTTAGCGGACGTGCAATGAGACACCCTATAATACTCATCAACACCAAGTGTTGAGATTATCATATTTCTGTCTCTCCAATCGCACGACCACTTCTTTTCATCTATTTCATTCCACTGATCCTCAGGTTTAGGTACTATTGCACCTGCATCATTCCTCATGATAATTTGAAAAGGACCATTCTGAATGGCAGTCCATACATTCATGTCAATGGAATTTATGTGCACTCGCATGTAGTCTTTCCAGTAGCCATAGTTTTCACCATTTAAAACATGAGCTCTATTATACGCCCCTTTGGTTCAAAGGCCATAGTGTTACTAATAGACATAAAACACCAGCTAATTGGCGCTCTGATACCACTTGTTAGACGTGTGACAAGTGATCGAGAGGGGGGGGGGAGGTTGAATAAATCACCTATTTTTCAAGAATTTAAAATCTTTTATCAAAGTTTGTTAAAAGCAGCGGAAAAGTAAGGTCCAGAATCAACTTCCGTCTATTTTGAACCAACTATTAGAAAACCGGACATGCGATAAACTTACTGGATTTTATTAGTATGAAATAGATGAATCTTAAACACATATTACTTAACGTTTCTAATGCACTTATCACTAGAACAATGTTACCAATGAATTAAAACCTGTAAGCAATTTTTTCAAACGGTTGGCGTATGCTTGTTTGATGATTAATAATGATGATTTGATGAAAGTATTTGAACCACTATTTTATCATTAAACAAAACTCAACAAGTCAATTGAATCACAAAATTGCAAAAAATGTAAAGAGATAGAGAGAAAGAAAAAATAATACGCAAGCAGTTTTGTAAAGAAGTTCCCCACTGTCATCCTCGCGTGTGGGTACGTCTCCCTCTCAATTCCAAAATTGAAATTGAGAATTCTTATAACAATTTTGCTGAATGTTTGAATACAAGGTTACACTACACAAACAGAAAGAAATCCCTAAAATCTTCTTCTTCTTGTAAGAACCTCCACTTGAAATGAGTCTTATCAAGATTCCCTGCAAGATGCACAATCGATCCTCCGCTTCCACGACCTGTTTGCAAAAATCCATCTGATTTTCAAACTCCTCGCTAGGGTTGAATCCGACTTGTGCGATCGTGACTAACAAACCCTCAAGAACATGTTCGTTCTTGAAGGACAAACCCTCAAGAACATGTTCTTCAGAATCTTCAATCCAGCTGAGATCCCTTGAATGCACAGTTGAACGTTGTCTCTTGATCTCTTGATCCAATTGAACAAAGATGTTTGATTTTCGTTGTTGTTGTTGTTGAATTAAGATGATTGAGAAGATGATGAAGATGAAATATCTTTCAGACTTCTTACTGCTCAGAATTGATGCTCACAATTGTAAATAATTGTGTCTCACTTTTACTACTGAAAAAACTTACTTATATATGTAACATAAAATGATTAGAGGCAGAAATTCGTATTATGAGTCGATGCATGTTAGCATAAATCGACTCATGTTAGTTATGTAACATAGAATGAGTCGATACATGTTGTTATGAGTCGATGCAAGCATATATTACAATATATTACAGAGTCAACCATTTTACATGAATCAAACATAACACGTATGTGTCGACACATACTGAATTGAACTTTTGATTTTTGAAGACAAAACGTGTTATGAGTCGATTCATGATGTTATGTATCGATGCATAAAAGTTCAAAAATATTTTTTCAGGACATCAACATATCATGTGTCGATGCATGAAGTTATGTATCGATGCATAAAGGTTGAATGTTGTATTCCAGAGACATCAACATGTTATGAATCGATGCATAGCATGGATGTGTGGACTCATATTGAAGCAGCGTCATTTTTATGATTTTTTACTTAAGTATGCGTCGATGCAAAGCTATTTGTGTCGACTCATGACAATGTTTATGTGTAAAACACATTCTTAACTCATTTTAAACATGTTATACTACATTTTTTACAATGCACACATGTAAGTAAAGCATTTTTAATATTCATTGATTATTTCACATATATTTGCTATCATTCAAAATCAATTTATTTTATGAAAGAGTTGCTCACAAAGACTCGTCTACTCGCCCACTAGATATAAGAAAGAAAGACTACGCACCCACATGAGGGAGGGTTTGAGAACACCTCTAGTACTCAAGTGGAAAAATCGACAACCATGGGAATAGGGAAATAACATCTCGATTATAAATGAATAAGTCTAATCTTGAAAAATGTTTTAAAGGATAAAAAATACTCGAGCGCACAAAAAGGTTTGAATGAGTTGAAGTATTTTGTTAACTTGAAAAAAGATTTGCGAATTGACTCGTAATAAAGTTCGAAAATGAAAAAAAAGAGCAAGGTTCCGACATGTACCGCCCCCTAGTCCCCATAAAACTCAACTGCATATGATTCACGTCTTTATTTGTTAAGTGTTCTAAATTTTGATTAAGATTTTTTTTTTGAAAAGTCACACAACATAGTCGAGGTTTATTATGAAAGTGATTAAAGTTTGAAACCAAGATGGTTTTGAAAAAGATGAGAAGATTTTGAAAACTGAAGAATGATAAGGAGATGAAGAGAATATCCTAAGTACAAGAAAGTAAAAGATAAGGGTAAAAAACATTCTAACCAAATAAGAAGTCAATATTTGACATAAAGAAGTCAATAAAGCGTGGTATCATGTGAAAATAAATCACAAGCACACAACATCAGAGAAACCCAAGACGTCCAATAAAGCTTAAAGTATCAAGATATCAGATAAAATCTTTGTATCATAAAAAACTCCAACAAACAGACAAACATGATAGCAGAGAAACAATCTGAACATCTCGTATGAAATAAGAAATCCAAGTTAAGTGGATTAGAAACTTGTAATAGAACTAAATGAAATATGAAAAATAGAACGGATGCTTAATTAATTAATTAAAAATTGATTAGGTTAATTAATTAAGTTTAAACAAATTAATTAGTTGAAACTAATTAATTTTTAATAACGAAATTAAATAACTAAATTGACTTTTAGTTAATTAAACAAAAATAACAAAGTGGTGTCAAGATGAAGTTAACATATGCGCTATCTTGAAATCCTTCACGAACAATAGACAAGTTAGTAATCACAAGAGAAATTGTAAACCAAATGAAACTTGAATTAAATTGCATGAACAAATGAATATTTATCAATCAAGAACCAAGAAAATAAGTTATTATTGAATGTAAATACAAAAATCAGCATTGTATTTATCGTTTCAAACATGTTTAACATCAAGCAAAACTCAAAGATAAACGTGATCTCAATCCACAACGGTAACTGGAATCCAAAACTCATGCTTCTACTTAAATCCAAACATGAAAAAAAATCAAGCTTAACACAAGATCTAAATGCCTAAACCATTTCTTGGGCAGCCACTACGTAAACTTAATAATGCTCCAAAAGATTGAATCAATTAAACAAGAACCGGGCAGCCACTAGAACAAGCACAAATATTCCAATAATTTCATTTCAAGCATGTTCAAGCAAGACGGAATAGAAAAGTAATGCCATGATCGAAATATCCTTTCAAATTTAAAACGAAAAAAACAAGAATGCCATCAATATCTCTTTCAATTCAAGCAAATAGACACAACAATAAAACAAGAGACACACTTCTCATTCCAAACGAATCCAAGTAACTTGATCACAATTATTCAAAAGTTTCAAATCAACTATGAAAACCAAAGTCACAACTCATACCATTGTTCCAAATTGATTTCGAAACATGCAAAGTTGATTTTAAAACAAGATTTATCCAATTACACTAGATCCAGGAAGCAACTATATGAACGAAATAGTGCTCTAAAATTCATCCGAAAAGTGCTCAAACACAATCAGAAAACCAAATATATCACATCCTCGTTCCACATTCAAATCCAAAATTAAATAGAACTAAATGTAATTAAAATCTCTTTCAAGTCGATTCAAGCATCGCAACATAACAATCAAAGTTAGAATCGATCTATTAACAAGTTAGTGAAAACCAAGACTCGGACATGAAATTTCCCACCAGAATTCGACACACATAGCATGGCAATTTAGCAGCTCGGATTCAGATCAAGAAACAACGCAGAATCAACCACTTCAATGTTCAGTTATGGCACAAAATCGAGACTTCAACGCACATCTAACATCGATACAACCTCGGTATCCAGATTTAATAAAACAATATGGTATCGATACGATACGATACTTCGCACAACCAAAACATATACTGTCAACAATTTTTTTTTTTACAGATTTTCTCATAATAACATTTCCAAAACAGATCAACTTATTAACACAAACAGCAACATTTTTACTCAAAAGATATCAAACATAGACATTATCAACAAATTGCTTTCAAAATCTATCACGGCATAATGAAACCTTACCAACTCAGAAGCAACGACGGAGGAAGACAGACCCGGCGGATATCGGATTATCGTTGCCTGTTAGGAAGTGATGCGCGGCCGGGAGTTTGTGTATGGGTGGTTTCCGGCTGGGTTTTGACAGATGAAGGGAAGCGGAGGTTAGCGGAAGAGAAGACGGTGAGGGTTTTGTTGATACAAAGGCGGTTAGAGGGTGTTTAGCGGATAGATGATGAATGGAGAGGAAGAGGAACTTTTTCCTTTGATATCTGCTTTCCTCCTCCCTTTTTTTCACAATCTGCTTCCTCTTATAGAAAATAAACTTAGGTTTTGTCTAATGATAACAATAACCCTTTTACAAGATATTTAATTGAATATCTATACTATTTCTATTATTTCTAAGAAAAAATAAATATAGACAAAACAAAACTATATATACATTTTTTTTATATACAAATTTTCTTTATAAAATTTAAATTAACACTAGATTTAAATTTAAAAGGTAAAATAAATAAAAGAATTTTTTTTATATTTTGATTAAATAAAAAAAATTAGAAAATTAAATAATACCAAATTTAAAAATTTAACTAAACAAATAAATGTGAAAACAAGATTATATGCAAATGCGCGAAAAATATAACAGTTCGAATGAAAATTAAATTTTATGATTTTTGGATATAAATAAATGCGAATGAGAAAATTCGGGGTAAATTTTGAGGTGCAACACTATTGTTCAAAAGTTGTGAACTTTCTGAAAGTAAGGTAATCGTGTCTTGACAACACCTATTGTTCAAAAGTTGCGAACGTTATGAAAGTATGGTGATCAGACACTAACGCTTCAGAAGTTGTGAACTGTCTGGAAGCCTGAAAAAGTTAATTCGTTACTTACATTTGTTTCAGAAGTTGTGAACTATCTGAAAGAATGTCAACATGTGTGTTTGACAATGTTTGCTCCATTTACCACGAGATTGTTCAGAAGTTGTAAACTGTGTGAAAGTTTTGTAACTAGGTTTTGATAAAATAGACTATGATACTTTAGAAGTTGTGAACTTCTGGAAGTGTAGTAAGCTCGCGTTCAACCAGACATTGTTCAGAGGTTGTGAACCTTCTAAAGACATGGCCAAAGAGACATGGTCAAATGACATGTTCTAAAGACATAGTCTAAGACATGGTCGGAAGACATGGTCTAAGACATGTTCTAAGACATGTTCTAAGACATGGTCTAAGACATGTTATAAGATATCGTCTGATACATATTCTAAGACAGGTTCATAAGACGTGGTCTGAGACGTGGTCAAAAGACATGTTTGAATGATATGGTCAGTCAAAAAAGGGTTCAGGCACTGAACCTTCTAATAACATGATGTATTTCCCCTTCTGGCGGCACATTTTTAGTTTTTGAGAGAATTAGTGAATTAGTTCTGATGTTTGATGTGAGTCATCATGATAGTGACTAAACAAGTTATGTTACTTCTTAGTGTTCTAATAGTAAGCTAGGTTCTGAGATGAATACCATGCATTTCTAGTCAGACTCTGGTGAGACGTCAATGGAGAAGTATTCCTTCTCTATGTTACATTTTGTACTGCAAAATTTATTTTGTGAGTCTTGGGCTCAAGGGGGGACCCTGAATAAGAATAAATGATATTTTGGGTATTAACAGATTCAAGGGGAGCTGGTTAGCTTTTTTGAATTTGTGTTCCATGGTGTTTGCCCTGTATGAATTGTTCTATCAAAATACATGGTTTTGTCATCATCAAAAAGGGGGAGATTGTAAGAACAAGATTGATTCTGCATTTGGCCTTAAGTTTTGATGATAACTTGACATGTTATCTTAGAGAACAATTGTGTACTCTAATTGTTTTTAGCTAGTGTGTAGCTTTTTCTAAACAGGTTCCGACTCTGGTAAGAAGGCGTGTGGTGTCATTAGGTTCTGAACTCAACACTCTAGAAGAATATCTATGTTGTGTTACAAGTTAAGTCAAGGTTCAGGAAAAGATTCTTATACAATGGTTCTAAGGAACATTAGTACAAGAGCTTATGATAGTGACTTATACAAGGAAACTTTGGAAGCCTTCTAAAGCTTTAATTTTGTTGTTCCAAGTTCTGAAGATACTAAAGAAGAGGTTCAGCTGAACAAGTTTTGAAGATTTGAAGACATTCTTCTGAAGACCAAGTGCTGAAGACTCTAAAGGCAAAGGTTCTCTAAACAAGCTCTGAAGACTCAAAGGCTTAGGTTCTGAAGATACAAAGTTCAAATCCTTCTACAACATGCTTCATCAACATACAAATCACAAGCCTTTAAAGATATAGAAGAAAAAGATAAAGACTAAGGGATTACATGTGATGGCAAGCATAAAATTACAAAGTAATTTGTGGGCCTTACTCTAATAGGGTGGCGTCAGGACAAACCTTTTGTACTTGTTATCTACAATTCCCACCATAACCGTCGGAAACAAAATAAATGTATTTGTGTTTCCTATTCTACCCTCCAACGGATCTCTTTTTCAGCTATAAAAGGAGGACTTGAAAGAATTTGAAATCAACGAATCAGTTCTACAAAACTATACCAAACCACTGCACAAACTCTTTTGAGATATTTCTTGTTTAGTTTTACAAATAAGCAAGGAGCTTTTATTTGTATCTTGCTATCAACAGTTTTGTGTTGTTGTACTTAAACATTGTGTAATCTGCTTTATTATAAGCATCTTTGTAAATCAATAGTGGTTGATTTGTTTCTTGAGAGACTCTATGAGTCTGAATTCTCGAGAAGACTTTGGCCGTGGTCATAGTGGATTTTCAATAAGGATCGATGGACTTAACAAGGGTGCCAATAAGGTTGGTCAGACTTATTGTGTTTGTCTGTAATCTGGTTGATTATAGTGGATTAAGTCCTTGTGTATAAGGAAAATCACCTTGCACGGTGGACTGGAGTAACTTTGTTAATAGTGAACCAGGATAAAAATAATTATGCTCATTTATTTTTATTCACTTGATAAGCTTTTTATTTGAGTCGCGAAAAGATTATATTTGGTGCAACCCAATTCAAATCCACCTTTCCTATGTTTCTCGCACATTCATTATCATCATATACTTTCTAAGGTGATTTATTCGAAGAAGGTCTGTGTACCTTCATACTATAAGATGATCACACCTTAGATTTTATCAATATGGATTGATCACCAGAAACTGTCAGAGTGTCTACAAGTTAACCCTATTATCAGATAGATTAGGAAGAACCATCTTACATAAATTTGTTAGAAATATCTTCACCATCAATAATAATTCAAGGCAATGATCTTACTAGGTCATAAATGTTTAAAATTAAAAGCAGAAGCTTTTGAAAATTTCAAATTATAAGATCCATCCAAATAACAATTATAAGGACTATACCACCATTTATAAAGATTAAAATTTAAAACCAAGCCTTTTAGTTTGAGCAACATGAAGATATGTAGTTTAATTTTATCTATTTTTGTTTTGCCTAAATTGTTGAGTGTTTCTTTCATTCCAAATACAGTAAACATAAATTTAAGTGAATATTTATTACTTTAATAAACTTATGATGTAAGATAATTTTCTTCTCATTCTCATTGTTACAAATTATTTTTAAGTATGATAGTCCAATACTACTTGTACATAAGAAAGTTTTACTGAGAGCTCCAAGATTCAATCTTTTCTCTCCAATATCCTTTATTTATTTCTCACCTCTCAGCTTGTAGAACTCCTCCCAGTCTTCATCTTTCCGCTTCTCCCCTATTCCTAGTGAATTTTTACCTTCTTTAGGTGTTTTCAATCCTCTAGTTGCTATCCCACTCTGTGCGCGTTATCTATCATGTTTGATTTCCAATTTTCATCTCCTCTTCTTCATGGTTTTTTCAACTAATATTTTCTCCCGCTCATGGAGAAACAAAACTAAAACCATAAATAATACCTGATAACAGAAAATTCATTTTTCTTGAACCTCTAGAACACATAAGAACTAGCAGTGACCTCATAACACAAAAACACATAGTATATTTTAATTCAATTCGCATACATTTTAGTGTCTATTTTATGTAGTTTTATTGTGTTACGTGGGTGTATTATATGTGTATTTTAGGTACATGTTAATTAGAGACTTGTGCGAGTGGAAACAGAGAAAAATGGTGATAACTAGACAAAAATAACACTCTACTGCTGTCTTGACAGGCTCATAACAGAGCTGACACCCGTTAGCCTCAAGACCAGGCGCCCATCACCCAAGAAAAGAAAGAAAAAAAACGAAAATGCAAGGACTTGACGTCAGTCATCCAGGGAAAATATATAATTTGAAGGTATGATGCCCGTCAGCCCCTGCTGACGCCCGTCATGACTCTAAATTCCAGTTTTTTCTCCCGCTATCTCAAATTTAGTCTTTCCCACTTCCTTATTTTTCTCCACTATTTTATCGATTATGCAACATTTATTTGTATGAGTTTTACTATAAAAAGGACCTTAGAGTTCAGTTTTTAAGGATTCAAGCTTAGCATTATTTTTAGGTAGAAAAAACACTTATTGTAAAAGCATTTAATTTCTCACACCGGGGAAATAATGTAGATTTAGTGTTAGGTTTAGAGCAAAGAAGTCTTTATTATTTTTGTAGCAGATTTAATCTTTCCAGAATAGTCTTTCTTTCTGTGTTTCGAGAAGTTTTTTTGTACTACATTGAGTCTCCATTTAGAACTAAATATTATTATATTGCATATTCATTCTAGATTACTTAAACTTCTACTTTTACTTTACTTTTGTTTTCTTTTCTTCTCTCTCTCTCTCTCTCTCTCTCTCTATATATATATATATATATATATATATATATATATATATATATATATATATATATGAAGGTTGTTTTAGCAGCATGCACCTTAGGGTGCATTTAATGTATTTTTAGTCATAATTTACTAACACATTCCTTCCAAAAATTAAATAGGTGTATTTTAGAAAATACCTATAGGTGATGCTAATTTACACCCACCTAATTTGTAGAATGAGTATTTTAGTAGCATACACCTTAGGGTGCATTTAATCATTTTTAAGTTAATGCTTGCTAAAACACACCTTCATAAATAAAAGTGGGCCCCACTCAAAATATACTAAAGGGATGCTAATGTACACCTAGTGTTTAAAACTATTGCTCACATCCTTAGATTTACACAGTACTGGTAGATAATGATACGTTTGATTATTGGTCTATGTGGGTTCAATATTTTTTATATTATCGCGATATTTTTGTGCACTTGCGGGGCTGTCATGACCCCAATCATATCACATTTTACAACAACCCCTGCTTTGATATGAATCATACCACATAACTT